CAGGTGGTGGTGGTGTGGGGAGCCGTGACACAGGCGTCCGGCCTTGTGGGGGCTGGCGTCCCTGGGCTGCAGGCGCCGTCCGCCGCGGGTGCAGACCACATGAGTGCAGAGCGGCCAGGTCAGCTGGCCCAGGACTAGGCTCGAGGAAGGTCACCAGGTGGGCGTCTGGCACCCGGGCAATGTGGCAGACGCTGGTGCCAGGGAAGGAGCCAGCCCTGCCACGGCAGCCTGGATGCAGGGAGATGCAGCCAGCCAGCCATGCCTCACAGGGTGTGTGCCCGTGCCCTTTCCGTCCCCTTCAGTGTCCCCCTGAGCGTCCTCACAGACGCTCCTGATGGGGTCCCCACAGAAGGAAGCAGCCGTGGGGGGGTCTCGAGAACGTGCTCTTGCTCGCCATGAAAGTGCTTTGAGTTTATCGCGGAGAAGTTGGAAGGTAGAGGAAGGTCCAGAGCAGAAGGTCAGGGGCTGCCCACAGCCCCACCCCAGCCGAGACCACGAGGAGGGCTGCAAGCGAGGCAGCCCCAGAGTCCCTGTGCTGGGGCCATTCAAACGGTCTGCTCTCCGTATTTTTCATAACCGCTTTTAAAACTCAGTGCTGATAATAGCCAACACTTACCAAGCATCTTGTTAGCGTGTGGGTACACCGGCCTCCGTGAGCCGCCTGCGGGCATGCTCCCTGTTTTCCCAGGAGGAGCGGCCCAGAGGCCTGCATACCTGCCCGAAGTCTCTCAGGTCAGACAGCAGACCCGGCCGTCTGGCCCCGTCACGGCCTGCCCGATCACTCCTGCTGGCCGGCGTGCATGTGTTCACGGCCTTGACTGTTCTTTGCAGGGGGACAGGCCTCCCTCTGCACCAGTGCCTCCAGCTGGATGGCTTGTTCCCTGCTGAGTAACACTCCCCGGCCCTGCCGCCTGCCTGGCCCGGCCGTCCTTGGGCTTGTGTGTTACCTGTGCTGTCCCCCACCTGGTGCTGACATGCCCTGGTGCTCTCCTAGACCGGAATTCCTGGGTTCGAGCATCAGCCTGAGGAAGGCCCTTAGCTTGATTTTCCACTTTACACACAGGCAGGAAGGGGCTGCAGTATTGCCTCAGCAGAGAGGGCGGGATAGGGCCCACGGGTGTTTCCTGCCTCCCAGCTGCCACGGGGGTTAAGGGGGGCTGAAGGGAGGGTGAGATGGTGGGGGGCTTGAGCAGGTGAGCCAGAAGGAGGGGCGTGGAGGGCGAGGCAGGCTGGAGCTCGGAGCGTGTCTGCCAAGGTCAGCTTGAGCCTCCTCTGCTGTCCAGGACTGGGCTCTGTGGCCCCTTCTGCGGCAGCTACATGGCTTGCACCCTTGTGTCTGACAGTGAGCAAACGGGGCGGGGGGTGCAGGGCTCCTGGCAGGGCAGTGAGAGGTGGGCCCTGCTCTCCACTGCGCCGCACCCAGGCCACCCCGCTGCCCAGGGCCTGGCTCTGGCCCACATTCCTGTGGCACTGTCTGGGTCTCCGGGGTGGAGCTGGTGAGCCGGGGTGGGGGGGGCACCGAGGTCTCAGGGCACCGAGGGCCTTTAGGGATGGGGCTGGTGGGCCAGAGCCTGCAAGACCCAGAGAGCTGCTGGCCCGGAGCTGGCTGGTGAGCCAGGCCCTCCCCTCTCGGACCGGCCACCCCCTCTTGGGGTAGGGTGCTCCCTGTGCACTTCCACGCCTGTGGGGGGTGCGGCCCCGTACCGTAGGTCTCGGTTAGCCTCAAGGTTGAGACTGGGGGCAGACGCGTGCCCTGGGACCCGCAGCGCCGGCAACACGAGGTTAAGTAACTTGCCCAAGTCACCCGGCAAGTAGCAGAGCGGTCTCAAAGTGCAGCTGGGCTCCGACCCGCTCGCCGGCAACAGGGCAGCTCTGGCTGGTCATGCGTGTTACTCTGGCACTGCGTGGATGCAGCCCCTGCCCCACCAGGTGACCCGATTGTGTGTGCATCTGCTCCCATCTCTGCTCTCTCCCCTGCTGTGAGGCCTCGGAAACGCCACGGAACCTCTCTGGCCTCCAGTGGTCCCGTCTGTAGCATGGGGCAATACTACAGGAGCGTAGTACTGAGGAATTAGAGGGACAGCAGGAGGGGCCAGCAGGTGGCGTGGTGGGTAAGGTGCTGGACTCCCACAGTGCTGACTTGGCGGCTTGGAAATCACAACGGGTGTGCGCGTGCGTGTGCGTCCGTGCCCAGAATCCCGAGAGGAGAAAGGAGGAGAAGGGATTGAGGCATGGCCATCCCCCTGGGTGGTGATTTCTTGCTTCCCTCTCTGTCTCTCTGTCTCTGTGTTGAGCGTACGCACCCTGTAGTCCAGCCTGAGACAAGAGCTGAGCAGTAGGGATGGTGCCACGTGCCAGCAGGAGGCCCGACCGCCTGCGTCCGCCTCGGGCCGCGTTACCACAGACCTTGTTCTAGTCTTTTTATTTTTGTTGGACAGGTTTTTGCTACAGGGTGCATGTGTTCACCAGAGAGACAGAGAGACAGAAAGCGAGAACTCACCCCCCAGGGGGATGGCCACGCCACAATCCCTTCTCCTCCTTTCTCCTCTCGGGATCTTGGGCACGCACGCACACACGCACCCGGCATGTGTTTAAGCCACCGGGTCTGGGACGCGAACCGCAGTCGACTACATGGGAATCCAGTGACATAGCCATTACGCCAACTGCTGGTCCCATTGTTCTAGTCTCACAGTCCCTCTGTCCCTGCATGCGCTGCAGGAGCGGGGTGGCTGGGACAAGGGTTTCAGAGACCAGGCCCAGCATCAGGGCTGCTGTGGACCGAGGGTGTAGCCGTGACAGGCGCCATGGTGAAGTGTCCCACGCTCTGCCCCATGTGGGCCGGTGGGCAGGGAGCTCCAGCATGGCTGGGGAGCCCTGTGGGGTGTCTGCCGTGGGGGCTGGCGGTGGCTGGGCCCCCACCGTGGGCACACTCGCTGTCTGTGGGTGCCGGTGTGAGGAGAGGTCGCGCACGAGGGACGAGGCTTGTGTAGAGGTGGCGGTGCCTGCAGGGCAGTGTGGGGCAGTGCAGGGTGGTGTGTGCTATGGGACCGGCGTGTGCACGGTGTGGGCTGGTGTGGGCGACGCTTGTGTTGTGAGATTAGAGATGCGTGTGCCACCCGTGCATGTGAGGTGGGGTGTGTGTGCACAGACGATCCCCGCCCACACAGTACTAGGTGGGCAGTGTGTGGGCGGGGATCGGCAGATGTGACTGTGTGTGCGTGTGCAGCACCACCAGGGTGTACTAGCTGTGTGCGTGTGCATGCGTGTGCCTCCTATCGGGCGGGCGCAGAAAGGCAGGGGCTTGCTGCTGGGAGAAGCAGCAGGGTCTGCTCCGATTCAGTTCTTTAAGGGAATGGGTGGTAATTATGCTAATTATGCATGGCATTATGCAAATGCAGAGGTTGGTTGGGGGTCAAAGGCTGTGTGTCGCCCTCTTCCTCAGGCTGGCTGTGGCTTCTGAGCAGGGCAGGTTCTCGCCCCTCTCCTTCTCTGTCCCTGGCTGCATCTGCGAGGCCCTCCCAGCCCAGCCCCATGGTCCTGGGGTCCCTGCGTTAGGTTCCCCCCAAGCTTCCCAGGGGAAACTCAGAGGTGATTGGGTGGCTGCCCCCCCACACCTGCGGGGAGCTGCTTGTTATTCAGAAAGAATGTTCTAGGTGCTGGTTTGGAAAGCCACGAGGGGCCCTTCCCCACCGGTCTGATCAGCCTCAGCTGCGGCTAAGTGAAGGCGGGAGAGAGCCCCCTGCTCCTCGGGGGCCTGCTCTCACCCCACCGGTGCCCGCCGCCTCTGTCCTCCGCCTCCCGTACTCCTGCCCAGCCTCCACCCTGGCCTCCTCCCTGGTCTGTCTCGGCAGCCCCATCTCTGTGGGGAGCTGCAGCTCAGGGCCTCAGCGTGGAGGAGATGTCGTCATGGTAACGGTTGTCATGTGGATGGCTGCTGGCTGAACAGTGTTTAGGTGAGAGCCACCTGAGTGGGGCTGAGGATTTGCTGTGAGTGTCTCGGGGCAGCAGGCTGCAGCGTGCCCCCGCCCTCCCGGCGTGCCTGTCTACACCGCAGCACGGACCCCGCTCTCCCTGGGTGTTCTCCCTGCACTGCTGGGTGTGTCGGCTTAGGATCGTGTGCCAGGGGCGCCGTCTGAGGAACCTCGAGGGTTTCTGTTGTGGCCTCACAATTACCCCACTTTGGGGGTCCTGGGAACACGGACCTCTGATTCCTCCTCCCGGGTGCAGGCCTCCCAGCCCTCCCCGCCCGCCCGGAGGGAGAGAAAGACCGTGAAGCAGAGCCCGGAGCGGGAGCCTGGCCTGGTCCCCGCTGGTGACTGTTCTACCGGGGCCCGAGGCCGCTGAGCAGAGGACAGAGCAGCCCCAGAGAACCCAGAGGACAGAGCAGCCTCAGAGCCCCCCGCCAGCCTGTTCTGGGCATGGGGCCGTGGCGTCGGCAGCTTCCCGACTCCCACCCTGGGTCCTGGGCACTGGGGACGCCGGACCAGAGCTGCTCAGAGCCCTGGGATGTTTAAGGGGGAGGACCCAGCAATTAGTCACAGGAGCAATTACACTAATTGTTCCACTCCATGACTCACTGGTGGAAAGTAAATACTGATTAATTCATTACTCTGGCTCTGTGTCGGTGGGGCATCTCCTGGCTCCCTGCCCTGGCGGGGCTGGGCAGGGCTTTGAAGCAGGTGGTCGAGGCTGGGGGCAAACTGCCAGGATTCAGGTCCTCTCTCTGACTCTCTCACCCCGAAGGGGGGCCCATCAGTGCCGGGGTGTGAGAGCAGGCTCAGCCCCATCCCTGCTCACGTGCTCTCCAGGGCTGTCCTCTGCTGCACTTCGCAGGCGGTCGGGCTTGCCGAACCGCGGACTTCACCTGACGTGTTCCGGTGTGTGGTCAGGATGGAAAATGGCCCATTCCCAAGAGGGAATCATCAACCCGATGCCACAGTCTCTACGACTGGACCCCAGCTGCTTCCCTGCCTCTGCCCGGCCTGCTCCTGCCCTGTCGCTGCCCCGTGAATCACACGACTTCCAGCCCCAGCCCCTCGAAGGAGTGGTGCCTGTGGGCCTGCTGTGTTCCGGGCACTGTCCTGCCCTGGGGGTGCCTCCGGGGAGGCGGGCATGGCCAGGAGCCCTGATAGACGTAGTGAGGCAGGAGCTCGGGTGGGGAGCTGGGCCCGGGGCGGGAGGAAGGAAGGGAGGGCTAGGCAGAGGCCCAGGGCGGCAGGGGCTGGATGCAGCTGGGCAGGAAGGCTGAAGGGCTGGAAGGTGGCGGAGGACCCCCGGGGGTGCAGGTTGCACCCACTCCCAGCCCGTGCTTACTCTGGCCTCCGTCCAGGGGCCTCGTTCTCTTCTACCCCTTGCCAGGCCACTGAAGCCCCTCTGGGGCAAGGCCTGCCCCCTCAGGGGTCTGCACTCCTGCCTATGGGGTCCTGAGCTCTGGCCCAGGACCACCCCCTGGGGGGTGGCAAGGAGGGACAGAGTCTGGCAGGGAGTCTGCGTCTGGTTAGCGGGGTCCTGGAGAAACCCCCCGTCCCTCCTGACCCTCTGGAGACCCCGGCGGCAGATGTGGGGCCTGCTCGTGGGCCCTGAGCTGGCTCTGAGCACTTGCATACTTGGGGTGGGAGGGTGGGGGCCGACTTCTAGTTCGAGGACCCCCAGGGCTGCAGCCCGAGCTCCCTGCCTTCCAAGTCACCTCCTCCCAGAGCCCCAGGCCTCACGCTTGTCTGCCTGGGAGCTGCTTGCCCGCCTTTGGGAGTTGAGGTGGGAGCCATGGGTCCCAAGTGGAGGCTGGGTCTCGTCCTGTCACTGCTCTGACCTGGCCTTAGTGCCCTCACCTGACCCTCGCCTCTCCCCCTGCCCGGCCTGCCTGTCTGGAGGGCTCAGTGAGGTCCCGGCTGGGGAATGGCAGATGGGCCGGCCACAGGGCAGTGCCAAGGCCGCCGAGCCCCTGGGAAACCCTGCACTTACACGCGGCACACTCGCGGCCTGGCCAGTCAGCACTCCTCGCTGGCTTCCAGGGAGAAACTGAGGCGCAAATGCTAACATGCCGCCCCGGGCCACACGTGGCGTGGACGAGGGAGCCAGGACTCAGATCAGGCAGTCCAGCCGGCTCTCAACCCACCCAGCAGTTCCTCGGGGTCGGGGAGCAGTCAGAGGCCGCTCCCTCCGTCCCCCCATCTTGTACCCCACCATGGGGCCGCTCCCCAGGCTGCCGTCGCCTTATGTGGGTCACCCCTAGGAGCATGTGGGCCGCCCCACCGGTGTGTCCCGACGCAGGTGTTGGGTCCAAGCGCTGGTCTGCCTGTCCCCCACCCACCAGGCTCAGCGCTGGCGCAGTGAGAGCTTTGAGAGGCCCGTGGACCTGGAGGGCTCCGGGGACGACGACCCCTTTCCTGATGACGAGCTGGACGGCCTCTACTCAGGGTCGGGCTCGGGCTGTGAGTACCCCCTCCCCTGCCTGTGGGCAGTGACCCTCTGGGAGACACCCCAGCCCAGGGAGCCGACCCAGGCTCGCTGGAGCGAGGTGGGCGGGGGAGCTGCAGGCGGGGGTTGGGAGGAGAGCTTGGACACCAACACGAGAAGGGCAGAATGTCCTCCCGGCCACGCGTTGGTCCTGGCAGCGCTCAGGGCCCCCAGCCCTCTGCCGTCTCTCCCGCAGCCCCTGCCACATCTCAGGGGATGTGCCTAGTCAATGTCCCAGCACCTGGAGGAGCTTAGCGGCCCTCTTGGTGAAGGGGAGTCCTCAGCAGAGGAGTGGATCGGCCAGTGGTCCTGTGCGGCCCAGTCCCTATGGCCTAGGGCGGGCCTAGGGCAGGTCCTCAGGGGTGCCTGGCCTGTTACTGGCCCTGCTGGGAGAGGTGAGCCAGGCCCTCTGGGTCAGGAGCAGCTTCTGTTGGTGGTACGAACGCACTAGCCGGCCAGGCCTGGGTGGCGTGAGTCCACTCCCTGCCCCAGCCACCAGGTGATGGGCTAGGAAGTCGGGGCCTGGCCAGACCAAGCTCTGACACTGGGAGCCAAACGTGGGCCTGAGGCCAGGCGGTGGGGGCCTCACTCCACTCCCCCTTTACCCACTCCCCCGGGCCTTTTCCAAGTTTGTTTTATACAAACCACTCCCTCAGGGGTGTGTCTCTACTGCCAAACCTCCCCGGCTCCCCACCCTCCTCTGTTTGTCTAAGCCCCCCGGGCAGGTCCTCTCCCCACCTCGCCCCTATCTGTTTTTTCCAAGTCCCTTCACTCCTCCCGGGCTGCTCCTTCACTGGTGGAGTGCTCTTCTCCCTCTTGCCTTCTGCCAGGCCTCCGAGGGGAGATCTAGTATACCCCCTGCCTTAAGCAGGATGCCACTCTGCTCCCCTTCAACTCCCACAACATCCAGTAGGGTCTTAGTTGCTGATGCCTAGTTTCAACTTTTTAGAACCTCCAGGGTGGCTCGGCTGGAGTAGTCAGGGAAGGCTTCCTGGAAGAGGTGGCCTCTAGAAGGCTTTGTGGCAAGGCCGAGAGGAGCTGGGGACCACTGGCTAACTGGTAACCTTTGGCTAGGTGTGCTTCCTCCTTCCCTTGCTATTTTCCTGGCCAAAGTGGGCACAGAAAGGGGTCAGGAGCTTCCTCATGGCTGTTGCTCACCTGGGACCCTCAGGCCCCTCAGAACCGCACAGCTCCCTGGCTCTCTCCTCTCCCCACCCCTCAGACTTCGAGCAGGAGTCGGGCCTTGAGACAGCCGTGCGCTTCAGCCCCGATGTGGCTCTGGCAGTGTCCACCACGCCTGCAGTGCTTCCCACCACGGACGTCCGGCCTGTGGGCACCCCATTTGAAGAGCTCCCCTCTGAGCGCCCCACCCCAGAGCCAGCCACCAGCTTCCCAGAGGTGACAGAGATCCCGGAAGAGCCCGGCCAGAGAGCCACCACCACCTCTCCCATCACGGCTGCCCCTGCCACGGAGGGCCCCGCCGACACCGCGAC